TACAGGTATCCTAACCCAACCATTAGTAACAGTTGCCATAATATGAATATTACATAGGTGATTATCCAAATTTTCGCAATCGATGGGATTTGAACACCCAACCTACCACTTGGGGGGTTGACAACCTAACCACTTTACTAGGTTGCCACACCCCATCAAAGTCTTTTATTATTCTAATTTTCAGTTAATCTGATATTATATTATAGCTAAAACCAATACTTGTAGTTAGAATTAACTATTAAACTGAGGATAATGATCCTAGTATAGTAGTTGGATTATCATCCTCCAAGTGGCAGATCTAAGGTTCAAATCTTACTTATAATAAAATTTGAAAATTAATCTGTGTTACAGCAAACTGTCTCTTGACAATCAGTTGGATTTGTGTATCTATAACCTTAAGTCGCACTATCTTAAATAAGAGCTTAGGGCATCTATGCCAAGTGTAATATTATACATATATAGAAAAATGTTAATAACTGGTGTTGCATAAGACTTCAGTGCAAACCCATAATAAGACTACCAGGCATAGTAAAACTAAGAAACTGAAAAGTTAGAAACCTACTTGAAAATTCTCAAGTAAAGAGGTAACATGAATTTTCAATGATACAGTCAGACTGATGAAAGCCCATGAAACACTCTCAAAGGAATAAACAGATAAACCAGATGTCAAGATGTGTAAAGAAGCACATAACCAACCAGGTTGTCAGAATTGCTGAAGAAAAAGGATATATAAGTATACCATACTAGGCTATAGAAAGAATTACAAATTTTCATTATCACTGAAATTTGAACTCTAGACTTATTACTTGAAGGTTGACAACCTATCTATTTTACTAAATTATCATACTTCTAATAAATTATAACATATATATATATGAATTGGTTACTAAAAGTAAAATACAAATTTAAATAGTTTTGATATAGGTTTTTAATTTTTTTAGTTATATTTAAAGCTTTATTATTAGTACTAATATTATAACTATTGTGCAATTCTTATACTAAATAAGCTAGATTATATGAATATATAAATTTTGTAAACCAATTATTAAAAAAAGCTTTCTAAATGAGATTTGCTTAAAATTATTAAATACAATTTGTATAATATATAATTCACATCTGATTCTTATTAATTTAAAATTTATTAACTTATTAAAAAAAACAGTTATGTCATTATTATTACCAGACATATATGCAATATTATTTAATAGCTATATAAAAACATTTATTAAAATTAATTTGAGAATTTTTTATTATAACTTGAACTGTTTTTCAATACAGTTTTTCTATTATATTTATCAATATTTTGAAAATGTATCATTGTAATTAAAGGTTCTTTATAAATAAAACTTGAAAACATAAAACTCATTATAAACTTTTAACTTCATCATATTTTGATTTATTAATTATAATTCTGTAATTAATAGTATTTCATATTTTATTAATAAAAAAATTAGTAAATATTTTAGAAATATTTTATGTAATAAAGATAATATTCTATATAAAAACTAAGTTTTAAATAGTTCTTTAATTAAAAATTTATAGATTAATTTTGTATACTTTTTTGTAATTAAATACATAGATATTTATCCAATTTGTATTATTTGTGTACTTAACTAAATTAAATCTGTAGAATATTAATACAAATTGTCAAATATATAAATAAATTTGAGAAATTTATTATATGTTTTTATCTTGTAAATATTGAGTTATTGATTCTAATAATTGTATTTTATAAATTAATTATATATTCTGATTGTTTAATTTTTGAACTTCACAATATAATTTTTTATTAATTTTTTTAATGATTTAAATATTATTGACTTATAAAAAAATTCTTAAATAAATTGTACTATTTTGTCTTATAAATATAATAATAATATTTGCTATTCTTGTGTATCTTTTGAAATATCACATTATATTAAAGAAATGATTTGTTAAAAACACTTTTGATACTAATTTTTAAACTGCAAAAATTAATTTATTTTATTTTTAATCTTTTTTTAATAAAACTTATTATTATAATTATTTTGCAGATTGAATTTAGTTATTGTTCACTAACTTTAGAAAAATATTACTTATAAATTCTAAATTAATGTCTATTTTTAAAACTTTTTTGTATAACTTTTTTAGTTTATAATTGACACTTACTTAGTTTACCCATATTGTAATTATTATAAATCAAACAATGTTTGCTACTAGATTACTAAATGCAAGACAAAAAATGAAATTGTATTGAATAAAAACGAATAGATATTCTTTATTATTTATTTTTGCTTATATAATACAATAAGCTATTGTTAACGTCTATTTATTGCATCATTTTTTTTATGTATATTACTAATTAACTAATTTATTTAACTTCACTTAATTAATTTATTAATTTTCTTCCAATATATCACCCAAATGCATACCAATACTAATTAATTTTTTAATTATTCAGATTTATGATCAGTTGTATCATTGTTGAAACTATTACTATCAAGTTGATCACTATAAGTTAAATCAATTAACTATTTTTTAGAAAATTCAAATGACTATTTAGCCTTAATTGTGCAATTAATTAATACCAAAATTAGTAAAAAGAAGCCTTAACACTTCTTTTATAAAGTTACATTAAAATATTTGCGCTTCATACGTATATAGTCTTACCGATGTATATAATATATGTTTTTAAAAAAAAAATGGTTTAGATTTTATATATATCAATATAAAATAAATTTTTTAATCGAAAATTTTATTATAGTATGTAAAATATGATAATGTAACTTTGTTAAGAACGCAGTAAAGAGTAAAATATGTCTAGATTGACAAAAAAAAATATTATTAAGTGTTTAATATCCAAAAGCATTTTACTAATCCTTTAATATAAAGATTGCGGCATAGTTTTTTGATCGAAAAATCTATCATTATACAAAAATCAATAAGACTAAACATATGTTTTGATTCTATTAGATGATCGACCACCCCAATATAACTTGTATATTATGTTGACTGTTTTATGCCTATTATCTTGCGTCCACTGCATGTATAATCATAATGTTTGTTGTTCTTATGTGGACTAACTTATTTGGACCGATTTTATATCAGAACCGGTTCGAAAACCCGGTTTGTGTCGACCTACTTAAATGATTAGAATAATCGGTTGAATCATTCTTTTTTGTTTTAGGCCTCTATTTAAACACATGGACTTTCTTTTGGCGATGAACACATAACATTTAAATATTACGTATACGTATTTATAATATTGAATAATTGAATATCTTAATTATAATTCTATAATTCTAATACCAGAAATACTAACTTTACATGATCCGTCCGACGATCTCCGCTGAATGATAACTCTGGCCTTTAAAGAGATGTGACAGATCCTAAAGGTGTCTAAGGACCTTCAGGATAGCGGAGGGAGGAGAATAAAAAAAAAAACTTTACATGATCTATACAGTTTATCCTGTCAAAACTGATAAGCATGTTATTGCCTATAAAATTGCCTTCATCGTCATATACTAATTAAACTTACAAAATTTTACTACGAATGTACTCGAAACAATTCAAGTCAAATTTTCTTATTTTTCTATCACATGTACTATATCATGTCTTTATTAAAGTGCTTTAATTTACAAATATAGCTCAGTCTTTCTCAATGTTTCATCTTTAAGTGAGCTTCCACCGAAAATTACGCCATTTCGCCATTTCATCAGTGAGATTTTGTCATTTGTATTTTTTTGAAACATTGACAAAATGGCGTACAAATAACGCACAAAGTACGTATGTAGTTGTTTCGTTGCTGTATTATTATAACTTAATATATTCTCAATGGTTATTAAAAGTCAATATTATCATCGTGGAGGGTTTAAAAATATACTATATGGTGGTGTATCCATTATCTGGTGGTACAAATATTATTTTCCGTACATCTACTATGGAAATGATATAAAACTGAAGGGTATTAAACAAACCCCTTTAACGTGATACGAAACTCCTTCTCGTTTGATGTTTAAAAAAAAATCTTCTAGAAAGGTAATTTTAATAAGAAAAAAAATAGGAAAGCCGTAATAATAAAATGGTATGACAAAATATATGGAGTCGGATTTATTACTGCGCTTAGTGATTTCTGCGGCAACCTTGCAGATTGTACATCATTTGTAGTGTATATGTATGCATAGACGTTGTACTGAATTATTTGAATTATTGAACAGGTTGCGCAACAAATTGCCTATAAATACAGTACATGCTCAAAACCTTCCGTATTAGTGGATATTTATCATTTTTTAAAAGAGATTTAATTATGCATATTCCTCACGGGATTCATGCGTCAATCTTGGAAAACTCTCAATTTACACCGTCTGATCTCCTTCATTTGGCTTTATCTTGTCGTCAATGGGCAAAATATGCTCTTTCTCATTTATGGAGAGCTCGAAAATTTATGGACAATTCGCTTCTTCAACAATTTATATCAACCCTTTCTGAATCTAACCGAAAAAAATTATTATTTCCATACGGGGAATATGTAACAAAAATTCAGTTAGAGGAGGCAGAAAAAGAACCTTCAATACATATTGATGCTGAGTTGATTAATTTCTTAGCCAATGCTTGCCCAAATCTTAAAGACATTCAATTGAAATTTTCTTTAAAGACTCGTACTAATAAACCTTGGAAGTTACCTTTGAATCTTTTAAGTGATAGATTGATTCGTCTCAATTTAACCACTTATGAACATATAGCTAATGATATTGATGTTCCTGATGATTGTAACAAAGTTGCAAACATTGAAAATGGAGTATCAACTCCTCAGAACTTTGCTCGAAGTATTGCAAATTTATTCACCGCTAGCTCCAAACCAAAACAAAGTAATGTAGATGATTTTAATAATGATGATGACAATTTTGATGCATTGTGTGAAGCTGTACTTCCCGGTAATATTAATAGCATTAGGTTATATTATCCGAGAATGACTCTAAATATTTGGGAGAGGTTTGTTTGTATTCTGTCTTAATCAATTTTGTATATTTCATTAATCTATTATTAACTTACTGATATTGGATAATGTAGGTTCACTAAATGTGCTGGTAATTCTCTTCTGTCTATTCGAATAATTTTCAATCATGCTACCATGACATTTGAAGATCCATCAGAAATTGCTACCTTATTTGGCAAATATTGTAAAAATTTGAGAAGATTTGATTTGGAAGCTCTTCAATGTCCTCTAATTTCTTGTTCAGCAATGTCTTTTATGTTTGATAATTGTTTAAAATTAGAAGCAATTGATGCTCCCATTCCTGGAGAAGTATTAGATATAATTCATACATCTAAATCATTAAAATCTATTTCTTTTTCTGATGTTGTTCAAGGACAATCTTTAAAAGCAACTTTTAAAATGAATAATCTTCAAAGTCTTTGTTTGTTGAAGATTGATGGTCCTTGTGACCTTTCATTTCTTGAAATGTTTCCAAACCTTCAACATTTACAAATCTGGGATTTTTCTTCGTTCAACGATGATTCTTCTAGAAAAATTAGTCAATCTTCTATCACAAAATTAGATCTTTTAAAACCTACAAACATTTTCGATGAAGCTTTAGTTACATTCGCATCAATGACTAAATTAATTGATTTCACTATACGTGATAGACTACCAAATGTTACCTCAAATGGTTGGTTATCATTCGTGAATCGACCAATTGGATGTCCATCATGGGTTAATCTTTCAATAGGCGATGGTAGAAAAGTTAGTACTGAATTTTTTGAAGTTTTAGACAGGAGACATGAAAATTTGGAAGTTTTAGTTGTTAGAGGGTTAACTGGTGAAAATCTAGATGATTCAGTAATGCAAAAATTAAAATTTGCGGGTGCTTGGAATCATTGTAAAAGAAGCTCTCATTTACATTTACGTTGGCCTAAACAAGAAAAAAGACCTAATGTTGTTGAAATAGCTAGTTATAGGAGTTATTAGGTTTGAACGGATTTTTTCATCTAGCAATATCTTTGTAAATTACCTTGAGTTTTTTATTAATTGGACATTTTTCAAATTTGAGTTTAATAAATAATTTGTTTTAAAAACAATTTGACAAAAAAATTTAGTTGTATTAATTTGATTTTTTATACTATAGTATGTTTAGGCAATTTCTAATTGTACACGAGTATATATACACGAGATATAGAAAAACTAACCGATGTCTTGAAATTTTGATTATAACAAAAAATTTCTTATGAAATTTTGGTATGAACTATAGCTTACCCAAATTCTAAACCTAACCATAAGCAAAAGTTCAATTTTCCATTTGTAAAATTGTCTTGATTAGCACGTTACATGAAGTTGCAAACTACAGATTAATACTCATGTATATATGCTGCGTCTCAAATCGATTTTTGCCTCAGGTGATAACTGAGGCACCTCGGATGTTGACAGTTTGGCCGACATTAACGGATCGATTAACTGGCATAACTATAACTTAATCCCTACCCTAACTCTAACTCTAATTTGGTGGTCATCACGGGGTGCAATATCTCAAAACGGGACTAAGAAACAGGGATTGGAGGCGCAAGAAAAAATTTGGGCATGCCTCTCTTATTGTGCCTAGGGGCACCCCCTTATATATACTAAGTGTTATACTGTTATGTCTAGTTACTATTAATAATATATAAGATTTAAAAATTTCAAAATTATAGATAACTTCTATATTCTACTTATCTTATTTTTGGTTCTAATCTTGAAATTTAATAAACCTTAATTTGTTTAACTGTTATACAAAATATTTAAAGACATATTCTTAAGATAGCTGCTAAATTTTGTAACCAATCAGCATACTTCAATTACATATAATTAAGATTTATAATTATATGATATTGCATGCCTTTGGCTAAGTGTATGCCCTGGGTCACAGTGCCTCCAACCCTACCCACCAGTTATTTGTAGTAAAAATATCCTGTCAAATACTTCACATAAAATTAGGGATGTTAATTGGTCTCACGGTAATTGTCAGCCGACTTTGTGGAAGATTTGTAAAAAATTGGTATTTTTAACTATTATTCGTTCAATAAGTAAATTATAGAAAAGCTATTTCTCTATAAGAGTCTCTAATAAAAGTTTATCGGTTTTTGCATTGGTTTCTGTTTAATCTAAATGGGACTGAACAACAAAATTCTCTCCAAACTGTTCGGTCCCTAATCGGTCCCACCTAAATTACTCAGAAACCAATGCAAAAACAGATAAGCTTCTATTAGAGATTGTTATAGAGAGATAATTTCCTATAATTTTACCTATTGAACGAATGCTAGTTAACGATACCAATTTTTTACGAATCTTGCTTAAAGTCGGCTGACAATTACTTTCTACATAAAATTAACCAATCAAATTCAATTGTCACATGATTATACATATTTGGTTATATAGAAATGTTTGAACATGGTTTTTAATGCTGCGCCATATTGTATATATCTTTAACACGAATAAAAAATTTATTTTCTACTCAACTATAATTTCCAAAAACAATTCAACTTTTAGCATATCTTGGTTTAACATTCTTTCAGTCCTTTGACCATCATTCTCTATATCCTCTTTCTCTAAACCAATTGAAAGCAATTTCTTATCAATATCGTATTTGACATTTTTCAACAACTTGCTACCCAAATATGCCTTAGTATCACACAATTTTCCATCATTTAAATCTAAATAAAACCCACATTCTCCATATCCAACCAATTGGACTTTATAGAATATTCTACCCTGCCGATTTTCCGTTGAAACTATTCCATTTTCATTAAATGAGCTAACACTTTCACTAATAAATTCTGATGAAATCACTGCTCTAGACCCATTGTATTTATCAATTAATCCAAAGGATGCAATCTTTATAGTGAAATATCTGTTGTAGCTTTTTCCAATTGAGTAATCGATCGGTGAAATTGTCACAATTTCAAATTCTTCCGCCTTCAATATTATTGAAATAGGTTCTTTCACTGAATTTACCACTCGAACCTGTTTATTCATAAAAAAGTATAACGCATATTCGCCTATAGAATCTTTATGCTGTTGATTATTGCCATTGCCAATTATATTATTTGTTTCAAAGCCATAAACATCATTTAAATAAAACAAATCCAATAAAAGATGAGGTCTACAATTCCACAAGCCAAGTACTCCGATTTTATTGTTCCAATTACATATTTGTAACAAGTTATCAACTTTTGTTGAATCCAGAAATAAAGACGAAAGTGATGATAATGCTGGGTTTTCGCTCCTCAAAATTCTCTGTGGCAATTTTGTGCTTAATTTTGTTGACAAAGAGGCGTCATGGGACGAATCTGATGCTGATGTATACGTATTAAAAGTTGGTATGTTGACTATACATTTTTCAAGGACACCTGAGTTATGTTTATTTGGTATATCTGTAATGTACAGTGGGCCTCCACTGATTGCCCTTGCTGCAGCATGATATTCACCAAATCTATGGTGTGACTGAAACATATCCCTGATAAAAACAATATAACGTTTAATATAATAGTAAAGTTATATACAATATAATAAGTTATTAAAATAACATTATTATAATATCTTACCAATCTAATAAGCTACACATTGTACTGGTCCACATGCTATTCTTTGTGTTTACATAAATATGCCATGTGTGTGATTCATAAATATTCGGAAAATAATCATCACTATTTCTATAACAATATACATATTATATAAGCATAGATATTAAATTCATAAATAAAAAGCAAATACGATACCACGCTAAATATACCTGAACAATGGTCTATTTATAGGCATATCGTCATTTGAGCCTGAACCAGACAAGACTTGTTGAATAATATTAGGACTATGCGCCATACAATAGATTATTCGGTTATCAAAATACTCTTTACTATTTATTTCTAAGGCATCATGATATTCTTTCCACCATCGCCGATGTCTGCATTGACCATAATCAATTAAATCAAAGCTTCCTTGTGAATCAACTTTTACCATACCAACACCTTGATCTTTTAAATAATCGTAAAAGTCATTGTAAAACTTATGAATATCTTGTGGTATAATAAGATGGATTATTTCATCCGAATGGTTTACTCTTTCTAATCTGTAAGCATTTGACAATTCGGAATTGGGTTCTACTCCATTCCAATAACCCCAAAGTGTATGCCTAAAGGATTGAGGATTAAAAAATCAGATTAATATTTTTAACATGACTATGTTAAACCGATGAAAAAAAACATGTTACTACCATACACCAAAGTATTTTATATATGGGAACTTTTCTTTAATATTGCTTATAATGCCCTTAAATCCATCTGGGTAAAGTTCAGCTTTAGGTTCAAATTTTTGTAATTGTCTATTTTTATTAACTTGTTGCCAACCATCATCTAATATGAAATATCCTATATGCACACCAATAGTATCAAGAGAACTTAGAACATCAAAAATGGGTTGTTGGCCTTCTCTACCTTCAAATCTGATTATAGGAAAGAAATGACAATTTATGCAACAAAATCTATCTACATAAAGGGTGAAATAATATAAGAACTCACCCGTTATAAGTACAATATCCAATATGGTCATAATCAAAACGTTCCTTCGTTTCAATGCTACTATTTGCTTTAACACTATTAATTCCATTAATTTCATTGATAAAATTCATGCATGCTTTAGCAGTAATATATGGATCATTTCCACGACCTACAACGAATCTTGCGTCACTATCTCCTCCACTATCATTGATGATGAATAATATCAACCCTCCTTTATGATCTGATCGAAAACTACATATGCAACCATCACTTGCCATAGGAATCAGCGAGACATAATGGCCAGATGATTGCTGAATTAATATGTAAAGAACATCTTTATGTTGTATGTCCAGCTTTGAAATACCCGTGATCGGTATCATCCACCAGGCTCTAACAGCGTTAAAAGATGTATTTATATTAGAGATGAACCATTAAATTACGAAATATTCTATAAAGAAATTGCATTAGATCTTCCTTAATCATTACGAAGTAAATCGCGGTTAAAGGGTATAAACAATTTAATAGTAGGAATTGTCAGAAGTTAATATAATTCCTCCATGTTGTTGGAATGCAGCTAGCTTACAATGAAACGTTCTTTATGCTAAGTAAACTCCTTAGGTTCTAGAGTAGTTCTAATAGTGACATAATTATTAAATTCAAGTTAGTAGATCCTTGAGTTATTAGTTTTCTCTTCATAATTATAAGAGTTTTACTTATTGTCAAAAACTTTCGGAATTCCAACATTACCCTTCAACTACGGTCTACCACTTAAATCACATCACATTTATTTAAAACCTATTTTTTCTTGATGAGTCATTAAAATTACTTACGAAAATCTTTGTAGTACAACATACTGAATCAAATTCCGAATACCTCCAAAATTGATACGAATTGGCTGTCCGTGATTGGATCCAACGCTGCTTGATACACACCAACAGTCAACATCTCCTTGTAAACTATATCTAACTTTCTTTTCATCAATTGTTTCATAAAAGATGGAACGATTTAAATCTTCTCTAGGACCTGTACTATTTGCTGATTTGCTTACAAATATTTTAGCGTTTTGACCTTCATTCACGCTTAGCCACTTCCAACCTTCCCAAGCTTCTCTTTTGATTCGAACAGTGAATTCATACCATCCTTCATCAATATCAACCATAGGAATTACAATTTTAAAAACGCGATAAGATTCATCAGGATCACAACCAATTATTTTTTGTTGTTGTTCTTCTTCATCCAATTCATCCAATTCTATACTTGACCAACTTGAAATTTTCAGATTAGTCCATAATTGAACGCATAATTTATTGGGACGCGCATAAACATCATCATCGAGAACCCAAACTATGACAGTTATAGGATTTGATCGACTAATAAATGTAGTTGAAAGAAGTGATGGCTGTACAAATATTTTCATATTTTTTCAATTTTTTTTTTGGCGAATATAATTATAATTCAATTAGCAATTGTAGAAAAAAATAAAAAATCGCGTATTTATATTTTGATGGCAAGGTTACACAGTACTTGTCTTTAAAATGATAATATTGAATAAACATGTGAATTCAACGTTTATGTTCCCATTACGTAGGATGTACGTATTTACGGGATTTGCTTATTTGTGCCTGTAACGGTAATGCAAACCCAAAGAAGGAAATTAAGTATAAAAGATTAACTAAGGTAGGGGACAAACATTACACATACCATAAATCACCGTATAAAAGATCCCTCGAGTGGCGTAACGTAATTCCAAGATAGTCTACACTAATGATCTATAACCTCACTTAATCGACAAGGAGTTTTAAAATAATATCGGGTTAGGTTTATACACTTTAACAATGATTCTCTACAGTAATCCGGGAAATTATTATCCGGTGTATCTAAAATCCGCTTTATACCTTGTGCCGAAGGCACCTTTATTTATAGATTTATAGAGTAAATTACTTGTATTTAAAAACTAATATCACCACTATGTTCTATGCGTCCCATCCATCTAATATTATCTGAAAGACTATTCCCTCCTATTGTTTGTGACTGATCGATCGCATGCAACAAATGCGACGGGTGCGAACGTTATTTCCAAATTTGATTGGCGATTATCGTACCCAAAATCTCATTGTCTTACACAAAATTTATAAAACATAATTATAGAATCTTACATCGCGTTTTTTTGTAGTATGTATCACGAGTCACAGAATATATTGAATCCGTATATTGAAACAAAAGGCTGCTTATGTCGCCTTGAGTCCTTCGCCCCAGACTGATGATCAAACTTCAATTATTTTTTTGATAAAATTTTGGTTTATATAATGCTCCATCCTAATCTTATCAATAATCTTAACACAGTTACGCTTTATTTATTTTTCTTTACACCAAAAAATAAATACATAATATGATATTACATAATAAATATATCAAACTAAATATATATAGATACTATCAAGTACGTAATCAAATAACCGACAGCTTATGAGAGTACAGTCATATAAAAAAGTTGACATTTGCATTTATAATTCATACACATCGATTACTATAAGATATAATTTATTCGTTCAAATGCATTCTTTTCAACTCTTGTATTCCCTGTTCTCTACTAACATGTCCAACATATCCCAACTCTTTTTTAGCATTATCAGAATACAATCGGTAATCTTGGAACAAGCATAATAAAGACTCCCTGTTCATGCCATCAAGCATCCAGCGTTTACTATATCCTAGAAAAGGTATCCACTCAATAAAGGTGATAGATCCCCAAATTAACCACTTAGGCGCCCTAAAAGTCTTAAAAGGTCTTGGAGGGCTGACATCAGTTGCTGCTCCAACATAAAACTCCATAAAATCTTCCACCTTAACTTTTCCTTGTGAATCTTCAATCTCATAAATTGTCCTTTCTTCTATTTGATCAGCCTCGAATTGATGAATGCAAGAAAGAAAAATAGCTTCGCAAGCATTGGTGACATGTAAAATCGATAATTCCCAGCAATCAGGAGTAAATAACCATAACGGATTTTTACTCAAATTTGTTAATTTCGGTAACAATATAGTATCATCTTTTCCCCATAGCCAACCTAATCTAAGAACGATCACGTTCGAATAAGTAGACTTTAAAACTAAATCTTCGGCAAGACATTTGGATTTTGAATATGGTGCCCAATCAGGCAACGCATCTTTTGGATAATGATTACTTATAAGAGATGTAAACGACGAAATGTAAATGAAACGTGGTTTTTGTGGTAAGGTGGAAATGATAGAGAGAAGTTGTGAAGTTCCTTTAATATTGACTTTTTCAAAGTCGGTAAAGTAACCCCATGGTTGAACCTACAGATTTAATAAAAAAATTATGTAAAAAAAAAAGCACGTTCGGAAAATTTAATGATGATATAAAGTCAACCTTTGCAGCCATATGAACAACGACATCAACTCCGTTCAATCCTTCTTTGATAGCAGCTTCGTCATTAATACTTCCACGAATTATTCTAACACGTTTTTTACCATCTTCGACATCATCACAAGCACTTAATATATATTTATCAGAAGTGCTTGAGAGTGCTAAGACATTAATTGTAGTTTGTTTGTCTTGAGAAAGCACGTATTTTATAAAATTACGACCTAGATAACCAGAGCCACCAGTCAAAAATAATTTCATGATTTAATGTAAAAAATAGAACGATTGAAAAAGATATTCTTTAAATAATTGCATTGGAACAATGATCTGCATTCATTACATGCCGCATAAAAAATTGGTCCTCTGTTACACAAAATTAACATGGAATATAAGGATAGCTTAGTTAATCGGCAGAGCGAAATTTTCATAACGATAAAGGTTTTTTCTATAACTTATTAGACAGTGGCTCTCGATATAACAGACCATCGATATAACGGACATTGTTTAGTATGGAGAATTATTATTATTATTTTTTTAAATATTAAGGTGAGTACTTGTGACCCAGGATTTTATTGATAGTATATTTGGCTAATGGTTGCATTACAACCACAGGAGGTAACCATGAAAAGAGTGTACAACTAGTCACTCGTACAACTTTAGTCATTGTCTAATTTAAGTAGTCCATCCGAAGGTTTTACACTAGTTGCCATACCTGGAACCTGCTTATAGGTTTCTTATTTAAATATTCTGGTTCTTGTATCTATTCACCTACCTCTGCCTATCAACAACCTTGGCTGATGTCAGTAAAATATGTCATGATCATTAAGTCTTTAAAGCAGTTCATTCATATGGGGAATTTTTGATTTTGTATTAAACCTTTCAGAATCTTCTGTATCTCATTCTTTAGTATTATTATGATTAAGTTCAATATTAGTAGTTAGAGCATACCATTAAATCATTATACTTTTATAGAATTCACAGTATTGATTTTACAACATATCTTTATTATTTTGGTATTCAAATCAAGTTCTACTAAGTTTTCAAATCAAATAGTTTAGAAAGATAAGTATCTTTAATTTACATAATCTTCTAACATGTATGTTTTTCTTCTGAAATCTGAAAATTCTGATAATTTGGTTGGTTTATTTGATCTTTTCTTAAAGATTAGTATATTTGTTTAGTTTTATAGATTATATAGACCATTTCATGAGTTAGTCTTTACAGTAGCACTATTAAAAATTTAAGTTACCTCTTTATTTGAATTTTCAAAATAGGTTTTATCTTTTTATCTGATTCTTGTAATTTATATGATCTAAGGACTTATCATGAATTTACACTATCTGATATTAGTTTGTGTTTTTTTATATAATATTATACAAATGTTTAGATTTTTTAATTATATTGATATGATATAGGTTACAAGTATTTAATCTTAATCAATTATAAAAAATAGTTAATTATAATATAAAAAGAATTACAAATTATTATTATTATTAAGATTTGAACTTTAAATTTGTTATTTAGAGGTTGATAACTTGTTCATTTTATTAGATTATCATACTTCAATATAAATAATTATAATAAAACCAAATTATGATTTATTATAATATTTAAAATTTTAATATAACTAAGTTTTTGATATAACAGACTTCTATTATATCATATATAATAAATTTCAATTAAAACTTAATTATTGGTTAGTTATTGAGAAATATAAAAGAATGATGTCTAGTACACAAATGCACTATAATATCAAAAAAAATACTAATTTTAATTAATAATTATTTAATATAATTTGATATATAAAAAAGAAATTAACTAGTTTACATATAGTGTTTATATATAGAATACTAATTTATTGAATATGTCTGCTATTAGTTAATACATATTAAAATACATATAAGTTAAGTTTTAAAAGTCAAATCTATTAGTCAAGAGTAAAAGGTTAGTTATTAATTTGATACATATTTACAATAATAATTTAAATTATTTTGTTATTTAATTTTTTTTAATATTAATGATAAGACCATGCCTCTATTTTTATTGAATATTTAATTGAGATTTTATATAAAATACAAATCTATTTTTAAAATATTATAGAAAAAATAAAAGCTCAGACTAATTTATCTGTAACCTAAACTAAATTTTTGTTATTTAATATATTATACTATAATCTATTAAAGAATTTAAAAATAATTTAAATTATTATTATATATATATTTTTAATAACTTTTTTAATGATCTTTTGTTTAACAATATCAAAAAATCAAATTATAAAAATATTATAATAAAGTTCAAAAAGACAATATTTCTAATTATAAGTTATTTGTTAACAAAGTTAATAATATGTAAATATTAAAACATAGAACAGAATTCTTAGTAAGTTTATATTTAGATCAAATTTCTTTTTAGCAAATTTTTTAATATATTTAGTATTTAAATTAAAAAATTATTCTAAAAAATAATAAAAATTTAGTTAAAATTATTAAAATTTTAAAAATATTTCTATACAATTATAAAACTTATACAAAAAATTATATATAATTTTTGTTTAAAAAAAATTTTATAAAAATAAGTAATTCATCAAAACAAACAAAATTAACAAAAACTTGGAAATAGTACTATAAGTTCCTTATAATAATATAGCTTTCTTTAAA